AAGGTTTGTGGGAGCAGTTCCTATAGAATAGAATAGAATAGAATAGAATAGAATNAATTATGTTTTTGTCGAAGTGACACACAACGCGAGTTATGCTTGATTTTTTGCCGATTTTTGACACACCATGCCAAAAAGGTTGCCCATCACTGCAATAGACTATTCACACAGATACAGAAGCCACATTTTCTGTGCAACTCAACAAGTTTAAATTCATGGCTTCTGGGAACAAAACTGAGTATATACTCAAAATAAAGAAGAGTAGCAATCTTGCCAAACATGTTTCTATTACAAATGACATCAGTTTCACTCTGACATCCACTGCTACTTTAAGCTTGTCATCTAGCCAGCTAACTTCCCAGATGTGCTATGCATGCTATTAGATACATCAAGCCAACTCACTGCTGTGAGAAATGGACTGACACTTCTAGTGAAAAGCTGTGTATTTCCCACTTATGATATAGTAACAAACTGAATACATTAAAGATTTTAAAAAGATAATTTTATAAATTGAGCACCACAACAAACAGTAACACAATCTCTTTTCAGGGAGGTGACTCAGCATATGATTAAGACATCAAATACTCCTTAAAATGTATTCTGATAATCTGTCAATTAAGAATTCTAGAGGTGTTTTCCCTTCATTCATTTACTTGTCAAAAACTGGTAAAATATTGATGTTTGCTTTTTTAACTCAAACAAAACAAAAAGTCGGGGACTACCTTACAAGAAAATCACATTTGAGCTAACCTGTTAGTTATAAAATGTATAATAGCTATAATTTACTACTTAAGATCAACAAGCTTGGGATAATATTTCACAACCAAGACCACATTGCCTTCCTTGACTTAAGTGTATTAATATCTTTTTTCTTTCCCTATCTCACTTTGGAGGGAAAATATATACTCAAGACATTAATACAGAGATTACATATATTTTTCCAGGGGAATCAGTATACATGGATTAAATCTCACTTATTCAGATTATTAAGTAGACTTCATCACAGGAAAGCTGCCATTAAGCTGTCACAGCAACTGTTATGGAGAAAATTAGAAAAGGAACATGAAACATGTTTTTATGGTGTTTTCAGTGGTAATGCTACTGGAGGGAGAATGGGAAAAATATTTATTATTATTTTTAAAGCAGCTATTCAAAATTAATATGCTATCCTGTTAGAGATTTAACACTTCTATTTCTTTTATTCAAAAAAAGTTGCCAACAATTGATGGTGTATTTCAGCAGCACAATCTGGGGGAGCATTGAAGGTCACAAAAACAGGTGAAGCAGCCCACCCACCTATGGATTAGGGGGCAAGGAAAGTATATACTTGATATATAGTAGTCTTTCCTTATACCAGCATAAAACAAGTTCTAGTAAGTGACATAAATAAATGACACCCAATGTAGCATGGGGGTTAAGATGTTGGACCAGAAATCGGGATACCAAAATTCAAATCTATCCTAGCCATGGAAGCTCATAGAATGGCTTTGTGCCAATCACTCTCTTTTAGACTAACATATCTCACATGGTTGTGATTATTGTGAGGAAAAATGGGAGGCAGGATGCTAGGCACATTGCCCTGAGCTTCTAAGAAAGTGTAAGATATAAATTGAATGAATGAATGAGGTGAAAGGCAGTACTATTTTTAAAATTAAGATTAGAAAAAAACCTTTATTGGTGAAGAGGAAGAAAAGTCATCAAATGTCTACTGAAGTTAACTTTAGTGCAGAAATTTTGGTTATAAAACTGCATCCGCTTCCTTAAAAAGTCAAAAGAGGGACAAGTTCCAGGGTGGCTATTTGATGTAACTGATACTCCTTAATTCGTTACATATGAACAAAGAGGGAGAAGAAATGAGCCAAATATAGATATATAGTCAGAATTCTCCCTTCAGTGTTTAGATGCCATCACTCACTGCATGCTAAGCAGCCTGAGAACTGAAATTATATAACCCCATTCTTCCAAAACTATTACGAAAGTAATGACACCAAGCCTCACTTTCTGCTAGATTGAAGCACTTTCTGCTAGCCAGCAGTGTGCAGGAGCTGCCAGAAAAGCCAACACAGTTCTAGGCTGCATAAACAGAGGGATAGAATCAAGATCACGTGAAGTGTTAATACCACTTTATAATGCCTTGGTAAGGCCACACTTGGAATACTGCATTCAGTTTTGGTCGCCACGGTGTAGAAAAGATGTAGAAAAGATGTA